ACATATAAAACACACGAATATAAACTGAATAACAACTGAATCAATCGAAGCAAATTATTTTCTTGCAATACCTATATTAACCGATTTTTTTGTACAAAAATTTATGTAAGTGAAGAATATGACTGAAAAAAAGTGAATGAAAAAGAAATAAGTCAAAAAATGAAAGTGGAAAAGTAAAAGAAAAACGTGTCTCTTCTGGCTATGAAAATCCCGAAAATCTTTGCATGCCGTGAAAACTCACATCGCCCCATTTTCCATGCTTCGCGGAACAACCATCAATCAAGCACTATTTATTAATCGCCAAGAACTATACTTTGATGTGACGCATTTGCGCCGCCATATCAAAGTACAAAGCGCTATCATTTTGTAATGGTAATTACAATGGCAATATCGAGGCCGTTCATTAGGAAGCAAGTTGACAGCTAACACATCGGCCGCGCTTGATAATATCACCAACATCACGCAGCAAACGAAACTTGATAAATTGCCGCTTGCAATTACAGTTTCAATGAAAGCTATCACAATGGTTGGACTAATATTGATCAAAACATTTATAGCTGTAATACTTTTCAGTTGTCAAAGGAAAAGTACAAAGGGATAATTATTTCTGAGAGATTAGAATGTAGCGAGGTGTAATTAGAGTGCGATATGAAATGGACATGAAATGGGTCAAAGTGGTCGACACGTAATGGGAGTTTTGTTTTAGAGTGTTTGTTTTTCTTATTGGGTGGAAATGATTTTTGTGCTCGGGGTGGATATTTACTATGGTTGATATTGATTTTTTAAGTGTTTAATTGACACCTACACGAAAAGAAAGTCTAACATACAGCCAATAAAAGAACTCGTTGTATACTTACCTACTGCGTCTCATACTTATATAATAATTACAAATTAACTGGCGTCTTTTAAATGATGGTAATATTTGTCGTAATGGCAAATGAATTGGATTAGAAGTGAATTTGTCTCGAAATTATGGCGACACTAAGCCTGTTTAAACTAACCCTAATCAATGCAGTACTTACCTAAGAAAAAAAGTCGTGCGTAATAGTGATTATCTATTGACATTAAAAACTGGTAATACACTCGTTTTTATCCATCGAAAATCTCAACTTTATCGTACGTTTTCTTCTGTCCATGGCAATTTGTGACGCACACACTCAAATTACTATGTTCAATGTAATAACAGGTATGTCCAATTTATTTATTTTCCTGAAGGTAAAGTGGAAAATGAAACACCATAATGTAATGTCATTGTGTAATATGTATTTTGTGCTGACTTGGAATTATTTATCTAGAAAAATCGATCATCATTTCGGTCTACAGTGAACTGAATTTACGATTACAAACGTCAAATGTGTAGTTAATACGCGAAAATCTTGTATATATTTCCTTTTATTGGTTTTACTACTGGCGTACCAATTTTTAAGAATATTTACAATAAGATCGAAAACAAATCTAGTGGGCCATGAAATTTAGTTTTAAATAATGATGTTAGCATTACAGCTGTTTAACAATTATATAAAATAATAGAAAACTGCAATAAACGCACAGTATTTTACTTATAAAAGTGTAGCAGTGAGAAGCTTTAACTGCTTAAAATTTTTGACAAACCCCACAGTTGCAAATAACGGCATCTGAGTTACTAGTATTTCCAGCCCGTAAAAAGACGTATTTTTTAATCAAATCATACAAAATTTTCAAACTTATTGTAACCTTAGAAACTGTAAAAAATACGAGGTATGTTAAATTAAAAAAAAAACATCAATTTTTTATTTAAAATTCATTAGAAAATGCATTAATAAGAAAAAAAAACAAAATTTTTATAAATTAAAATTTTCTCATTTTGGTCTTGAGACTTTTGAAATTTAAAATAATTAAGCACTATGCTACGTACGTGGTCAAAAAATGTATTATTTGTTTTTTATTTTTAATTTTTAAATATTTTATTAAAATACAGTAAAATCGTTGGATTATTTTTAAAATGTGTGTTACAGTATTTTATGGAGAAGTTAACAGAGGTACTTGCTTCGTTATAGTATTAGTTATTTTGAATTTTAATATACCGAGTGATTATAAAAAATTTTTAAATTATAATTTAGTTTAATACTAATTCTTTTAAAGAAGTAAAAAGTCGCAAAAAACTATTAACTTTAGATACAGAACAACTTCACAAAAATACAGGATGTTTTTTTTTAAAAAAAAAACTGATATATCGATATTAGAAAATTGTAATATTTTTCTTTTTTATAAACACTCTGTATATTAAGACTCAATATAATTTAGACCACAACAAAGCACGTACCTTTGTTTATTTCTCCATAAAATATTCTAATGCAGTTTTTTTTAACTCAACTTATGGCATTCCATTGCAAAAAATTTCGAAAAAATTGGAATAACGTGGCAACATGGCATCGGAGTTTCAAAACTAAACTATAGTCTTAAAGCCTAGAAAAACGCAAATAAAAATATTAAAAAATATATAGGGTCTTCTATTTAAAAAAAAACTCAGTTCTGCTCTGTGTTATGTCTCAAAAACAGAACACTATGTATAGTTGCAAATAATTTCACTGTATGATACTCAAAAACGGTACAATTTTGTTTAGTACGTAAGTTATTGTTCTATTTTCAATAATTATTGAGATATCGAGAAACACGCGCTTAGTGACTCACCCTGTATAGTGTTTGTTTTATTTGATACAACCCCTGTAACTGTTTTATTTTTACAGATAACCATAGTGAGCAAATTTGTATCATTTTAAAATATCACTTATGTGAATAAATTTCCACTTATGAAAAAATATACCTTGTGTACCATAAAAAAATAAGATAGATCTTTTAAAATGATACAAATTTTCTCAAAGAACTAACAGGTTTAGTTTGTATCAAATGAAAGAAACACCCTGTATAATATACTATACTCTGTTTATTAACGCAATTTCTCGGAGAGACCGCTACTTTGTCGATTTCATCTTAAAATATAAAAAAACATGTATGATACAGTTGGCTTCAGAATAAACGGGAATGGAATTTTACCTGTCTTTTACTTGTCAATTTGACAAATCTTATATATTTGTTATTATTTTGAAACAAAATTTTAGCAATGTCATTATTGTTCTAACCTATTTTAAAATAGTCCCGTTTAAACTAGGAAAATTCACACAGTAATCCGTCATACTAACTTTGACAGTTCCCGTTTTTTCTGGAGCCAACTGTACGTCTTTTTTTCTTCACTTGTTTTTAAGCAGTATTTTACATTTTTCATTTCTTTTTTTGTTGGTACACATATTATTTTCGTCGTTCTTATTTATTTTACATGTTCAGAATTTTCTTCTCATTTTGCTCCATTTTTATGTCTTTATCTAGAAGCTCAGTTTTCCCTAATTTCCTTTTTTTATAATAAACATATTGATCTTTGTTATTTAGTTCTTTTTCTTTTTACTGCCCGAGCGTTTAGCGAATGGTTAATTTAATGTTTTCTCGACGTTTTATAGGTAACTCCAAGAGTATGAAAAAGTAGGTTCCCCATTTCCGTCTAATTGTCGTGTCGTATCTTCCGTCTGTCGTTTATTAGTGATTTTGATGAAATTACAGAACAAATAGTTGTGAAATTTTATATTTGTTGATTGACATGTTTATTTGGCTTTGCTTTAATAATCTACTTCAATTGTTATTTGAATTTGTAGGTGGTATCTCAAAAAAAAATAAATAAATAAATAAATAAATAAATCCGTATTTTAAATTTTATAATTTGTCTAAGAAACTGGACTTATTAATTTGTGCTTCAGGGGCTAGGGAAGCTCTGCCTAAATAGAGATATTTCTAGTCTTTTTTTTTATTGTTTGTTATTTATTGAACGTAATAAAAATTTTTCAAGAAAAATGTTCTTCAGTAATAGTTATAAAGTTATACGATGGGGGTTCTGGATCATTCTTAGGAGAAATTAATATGAGAAATAGTCAAAATTTGAGAAGGGTGAGTTTCTGTTCTGTTGGCTCACTTCGGACACCAGAATGTGTTAAGGGGTGTCTTTTTTGTAGCTGACGATTGCTTTTTTATTTAAGGGTGAGTTTTCGGTCGATTCATCAAATCGTCTTTTGGCGGAATCGTTGATTGTTTTAGGGGTGGTTTTTTGCATTTGACTGATTTTTGTGCTAGTGGTCACATTTTTCTTTAGGGTGAGTTCCACTTCGGTTGGTTACCAGAACGCTTAAGGGGGTAAGTTTTTTGGTCAGTTCGAATACATCGTTTTAGGGGTGAGTTTTGTGGAAAACTTTAATCATGGTGGATCCTTTAAAACGTTTTAGGGATGACTTTAATGGCTCTAATGACGTCATCAGCTTTCGGGAAGGGATGAACAAATAAATAATTTGCTCTTTACTTACCAAAATTTCTAAAATGTCTATAGCACAATCTCTGAGGTGATTTAATATTTCCGTAAAGTCAAGGATGCACAAATTAAAAATATCTATAGAGATAAGTTAAAAAATGGTTCTAATTTTTATAAAATTTTGACGTTTTCGAGTAAAACTATTATAAAATTAATTAAGCAGAATTAAATAGTAATACAGATTCTTCGCTCGATGAATTTCGCAGGTTGACCAAAATCGCTTAACATTTTATAGCACGCTTCAAAAAGTGTGGGAATAATTTACGATTCATTTATTTTTTTTTTTTATATATCTATATATAATTGAAGGAGACGTCATCTGAGAATTAATGTGTAGGTATTCGGAATATTGCGTGAATAAATACGGTTTGGAATTATTTATGAGAATAGATATGTTCATTTAGATATTGTCAATCAAGAGAAACAGAATTAATTTTTTAGTTATTTCAGCTCAATTAAGGATGCTAAGTAGACCATCGCTGTACAATTAATTCTCCTATTTTCGATTAATAAATCATCACTTTACGAAAAATAAGCAATTCTTCTAATTTATTTATTTTCTTGAAGGTAAAGTGGAAAATGAAACACCATAATGTAATCTCATTGTGTAATATGTATTTTATATACAATCGAAAATCAATTGAAATATGTTGACTTAAAATAATTTATCTACAAAAATCGAATACGACATTCTCTCTACACTGAACCTAGTCACCGAACACAACCGCCAAAGTGTATAGTAGGTACTCGAAAATCGTTCAGTGCGTCTCGACTAAATTCTTCTATAAATTCAAATATATTATGCCATATACAATCTACAAATTGCCACTGAACATAGAATTTTATACGGGTCCGTCCTCGTTCGCACACTTATGTACTTATATACACATTGTCAAGCAGTGTCAATAAATATTGCAGCAAACCATATAAAGTATTCACACTTTATCCTCCCATTCGTACGGTATATATCACGTCAGCCTCGGCGGGGAGAACGGCCGGTGCAGCACCGGGGGGTTGGGGGGGCTCGACGGCGCTATTCTAACTATACCTCCGTGGGGCGCTGCCCCCAGGTGCAAGCTGGTGTGGTGCGGCGACGGCGGCGCCGTCATGCGGTTGGGACTCGCGACGTGGATCCGCAGGGGGGTGGTCAGCTGGTGGCCGGACGTCAGCCTCAGGGGCAGGGGCGCCTCGAGCTTGGCGTTATCCGAGGGCGCCATCCGCACGTGGTCAGCTGAAACCAAAACATCACACGTAACACTTTTCCCGAGTCGAACAGTTTCGACCCTCACCGTGTATCCTCAGGTTCATCGGCGGCGACTGCCTCGTCGGCGAGTTGTCCACCCTGATCGGGCTGCTGCTCTTATCCTGCCCGTAATCAGCGTGCGAATCGACATCGATGGGCGACTCGTTCGATGTTAATCGCAAATTGACGGCTGAATTATTGTAATTCGATGTGGCGGTGTCGACGTTGATCGGCGACTCCGAACCCCTCTTGTTATCTTGGCGGAAGTTCGGCGGCGGCGTCGGGGGCGATTGCCTGAAGCTGGGGGAGGTGGTGTGGTTGCCGAAGCGGTACTGGGCGGGCATGGGCCCGGGGGAGTGCGGCCCGAAGCGGAACGAGGTGATGGGCGTGGGGGAGGCATTGCCGAACCGGAGCGGGCCGGGGGAGCTGATGGGGGGCGAGTGGGCGCCGAGGGAGATGTCCGAGTCGCTGTCGGAGGGCGTGGGGCTGAGGGGCGGCTGGCGGGCGCCGCCGCCGTGGTGCGCGAGCTGCGCGGCGAGCTGCTGCTGCTGCATCCTGGAAAGGAAACTTATAGAAATTAATAACTATGTCAATTGATACTCCTGTGGAAAAATTATACGCTCAGAATGAAACGCTCATGTGGCATGATCAAGATTGCGCGATTCCGAGATTCTTTAATTTACTTCAAAAACAACACAATCGATCCCCGAGATTCTTTCAAACTACTTCAAAAACTAGACACAAGGATCCCCCGAGATTCTTTCACACCGCTTCAAAAACAAAACACAAGAGAGCCGCGAGATTCTTTCAAATTACTTTAAAAAACTAGACACAAGGAACCTTCGAGATTCTTTCAAACGACTTCAAAAACAAAACACAAGGGAGCCCCGAGATTCTTTAAACTACTTCATAAACTAGACACAAGGAGCCCCCGAGATTCTTTTAAACTACTTCAAAAACCAACACGAGGGGCCCCCAAGATTCTTTCAACTTACTTCAAGAAGTAGACACAAGGTGCCCCCGATATTCTTTCAAATCACTTCTAAAACAAAACACAAGGGAACCCCGAGATTCTTTCAAATCACTTCAAAAACAAAAGACAAGAGAGCCTCGAGATTCTTTCAAACTAATTCAAAAACAAGACACAAGGAGCCCTCGAGATTCTTTCAAACCACTTCAAAAACCAACACAAAGGAGTCCCCGAGATTCTTTCAAATTACTTAAAAAACTAGAGACAAGGAAGCTCCGAGATTTTTTAAACTACTTCAAAAACTAGAGACAAGGGAGCTCCGCGATTCTTTAAACTACTTCAAAAACTAGCCACAAGGAGCCCTCGAGATTCTTTTAAACTACTTTAAAAACCAACACGAGGGGTCCCCGAGATTTTTTCAAACTACTTCAAAAACTACACACAAGGAGCCCCCGAGATTCTTTCAAATCACTTCAAAAACAAAAGACAAGGGAGTCCCGAGATTCTTTTAACTACTTCAAAAATTAGACACAAGAAGCCCCCGAGATTCTTTTAAACTACTTCAAAAACCAACACAAGGGAGCCCCCGAGATTCTTTCAAATTACTTCAAAAACTAGAGACAAGGGAGCTCCGAGATTCTTTAAACTACTTCAAAAACTAGCCACATGGAGCCCCCGAGATTCTTTCAAACTACTTCAAAAACTACACACAAGGAGCCTCCGAGATTCTTTCAAATTAGTTCAAAAACAAAAGACAAGGGAGCCCCGAGATTCTTTAAACTACTTCAAAAACTAGTCACAAGGAGCCCCCGAGATTTTTTTAAACTACTTCAAAAACCAACACAAGGAGGCCCCGAGGTTTTTTAAACTACTTCAAAAACGAGACACGAGGACCCCCCGAGATTGTTTTAAGCTACTTCAAAGACCAACACGAGGGGTCCCCGAGATTCTTTCAAATTACTTCAAAAACTAAACACAAGGAGCCCCCGAGATTCTTTCAAAACACAAGGTAGACCTGAGATTCTTTCAAACTACTTCAAAAACAAGACACAAGGAGCCCTTGAGATTCTTTCAAACCACTTCAAAAACAAAACACGAGGGAGCCCCGAGATTCTTTAAATTACTTCAAAAACTAGAAACAAGGAGCCCCCGAGATTTGTTTTAAACTACTTCAAAAACCAACACAAGGAGCCCCCGAGATTTTTTAAACTACTTCAAAAACAAGACACGAGGACCCCCCGAGATTGTTTTAAGCTACTTCAAAGACCAACACGAGGGGTCCCCGAGATTCTTTCAAATTACTTCAAAAACTAAACACAAGGAGCCCCCGAGATTCTATCAAAACACTTCAAAAACAAAACACAAGGTAGCCCTGAGATTCTTTCAAACTACTTTAAAAACTAGACACAAGGAGCCGCCGAGATTCTTTCAAACTACTTCAAAAACTACACACAAGTAGCCCCCGAGATTCTTTCAAATCACTTCAAAAACAAAAGACAAGGGAGTCCCGAGATTCTTTAAACTACTTCAAAAGTTAGACACAAGAAGCCCCCGAGATTCTTTTAAACCACCTCAAAAACCAACACAAAGGAGCCCCCGAGATTCTTTCAAATTACTTAAAAACTAGAGACAAGGGAGCTCCGAGATTCTTTAAACTACTTCAAAAACTAGCCACAAGGAGCCCCCGAGATTCTTTTAAACTACTTCAAAAACCAACACAAGGAGCCCCCGAGATTTTTTAAACTACTTCAAAAACGAGACACGAGGACCCCCCGAGATTGTTTTAAGCTACTTCAAAGACCAACACGAGGGGTCCCCGAGATTCTTTCAAATTACTTCAAAAACTAAACACAAGGAGCCCCCGAGATTCTATCAAAACACTTCAAAAACAAAACACAAGGTAGCCCTGAGATTCTTTCAAACTACTTTAAAAACTAGACACAAGGAGCCGCCGAGATTCTTTCAAACTACTTCAAAAACTACACACAAGTAGCCCCCGAGATTCTTTCAAATCACTTCAAAAACAAAAGACAAGGGAGTCCCGAGATTCTTTAAACTACTTCAAAAGTTAGACACAAGAAGCCCCCGAGATTCTTTTAAACCACTTCAAAAACCAACACAAAGGAGCCCCCGAGATTCTTTCAAATTACTTAAAAACTAGAGACAAGGGAGCTCCGAGATTCTTTAAACTACTTCAAAAACTAGCCACAAGGAGCCCCCGAGATTCTTTTAAACTACTTCAAAAACCAACACAAGGAGCCCCCGAGATTTTTTAAACTACTTCAAAAACGAGACACGAGGACCCCCCGAGATTGTTTAAGCTAATTCATAGACCAACACGAGGGATCCCCGAGATTCTTTCAAATTACTTCAAAAACAAAACACAAGGAGCCCCCGAGATTCTTTAAACTACTTCACAAATTAGACATAAGGAGCCCCCGAGATTCTTTCAAATCACTTCAAAAACAAAACACATTACCTTCATTTTGTGTTTTTTGTCGTAATAATTAATAATTAAAAGAAGATAGGTGAGATTTATAACCTTGTGTGTTTTGCTGCCATAATATTTCGACGATCATTATAGCCCTGAGGAAACCAGTGAAATAGCAGCGAAACGTCGGTGTAACTTCTGATTGTAATTAGTGTACTTAGATAGTATAGACAAAATTGGTCGAAGGTTATTTCAACAGAACTTCCCCCGCCCCTGAAGTACAGTCCAACAAATCCCGCTTCTTTAAAAAATAAAAAAAAAATGTTTAACTTTTATTTGTGATAAATCTCTATACATTAAAACAAATATGTAGAGATAAGTATTACCAGCAACAGTGGAAGAAGTTAAATGACACCCTATATATTTTTTTTTGTTTGTCTACGACAACCCACTTTTTTTTTAATGATACTCTATATAGTATATATTTTTTAGAGATTCTTTCTTGTAGATCCTGTTTTTTTTTTGAATACATTAATGTATCATTCTTTAATCACTCATATCTGCCACTGATTCCAATGCATCATGTTACGAAAACACACTTCTTTATATTTGGTCTTAACTGTCCCGTCGTCAACCCATGATAGGCTACGAATTAACAATTGCTCCAAAAATATAAATGCATGTCGTCTCCACATATACTAGTATAAACGGTTGCTGTAGAATTTCGATTTTTTTGCTAAAATTTGGATGCTTCGGAGAAAACCGAAAACGGATTCATAAACAACAAGTACAGAAGTATACTATTTTATAAAATTTGACAACAATCGGTCCAGTAGTTTCGGAGATTACATGTCTAATAAAAATCAACATAGATAATGAACAGACAGACAGACAGAAACGGGAGACTACATTTTTCGCTGTACGCCTAAGATTATTGTTAGACGTTAGCCGAATTTGACTTAAAAAATGACCGGTTGTAGTATAAAACGTTGTCAAAACCGACAATGTACTTTCCCGACTTCATAGAATTTGTAAAGTTCAAACAAACTGCACAGTTTTCAAAGATTCTATAATTTTACAAAATTTTAGGTTTTCTAAAGTTTCCAGTATTTAAGAGTTCTAGAATTTTCACGGCTCATAAAGTTTCTGAACCTTCTAGAACTGATATAATTTCAAAAACTTCCAGTATACCATTCTAGAATTTCTACTTCTTGTAGAATTTCTATAGTCCATAAACTTATAAGTGTTTCTACAGCTGCTGGAGTTTTTAGAATACCTATAATGAATTTCAAACATTCTGTTGTTTCTACAGATTCTAGACTTTTAGAAGCTTGTTAAGTTTTCAGAGTTTCCTAGTGTCCAAAGTGTGAACATTTTTAGTTTATTAGTTGACCCTGCAAATTTTGAAAGTTTCCAGACTTTCGAGGGTTTTAACAATTTTCCAAAATCTCCAAGAATTCAATTTTTTTTGTAGACTTATTAGCAGAGTTTTTAGGTTTATCATTTCTAAAAGCTACAAAATTTCAAAATTTGTCCGACCTTCTAAAATTGTTACTGTTCGTAGAATATCCAAAACTTCCAGGGATTTTGAACTATTTTAGAGCAATAAGATTTTTAAACTTCCTCGATTTTCCAGAATTTTTAAAATCGGAAGAATGTGCACTCTTTCCAGAATTTAAGAGCTCTAGGGTTTTCACGGTTTATAAAATTTCTAATAAGTGAATTTCCCAAACGTCCAGAACTGACACAGTCGCAAAAACTTCCAGAGTTATAATTTTTTGAGAGTCTCTAGAATTATAAACTTTTTTTAAGGTTCTAGGGCTTCCATAGTTCCTAGATTTCTCAGAGATGTCAGAATTCCATTTTTACAGTTTTCCATGGTCAAGAGTTCTCAAACTCTCCCGAGTCAAAGAAAATCCTGTCTTTCTACAGTTTTCTGAATTTAGAGTTTCCAAAGTAGTACTTACTTAGTAGTGACCTTTCAGAACCTCCATATCTTTCAGATTTTTTTCTAATTTCTAATATTATAAATCTAAATAAGTATATTTACATATATCGTAATTTCAGCCAGTTTAGCTAAAATGTTTTCTAATAGATTCTAGGAAAATAACTGTGAACAATAAACGATCAATATTATTATAATTATAATTCTTATTATTAATAATA